CGAGGTATTTTATGGTTTTTTGTGCAATTGTGAATGGGATCAGTTTCTTGATTTCTCTTTCTGTTGCTTCATCATTGGTGTATAAAAATGCAACCGATTTCTGTACGTTGATTTTGTACCCTGCAACTTGGCTGAATTCTTGGATCAGTTCTAGTAGGCTTCTGGTGGAGTCTGTCGGGTTTTCGATGGAGAGTATCATGTCATCTGCGAAGAGTGAAAGTTTGACTTCCTCTTTGCCAATTCTGATGCCTTTGATTTCCTTTTGTTGTCTGATGGCTGATGCTAGGACTTCCAGCACTATGTTCAACAACAGTGGTGAGAGTGGACATCCCTGTCGTGTTCCTGATCTCAGGGGGAAAGCTCTCAGTTTTTCCCCGTTGAGGATGATGTTAGCTGAAGGCTTCTCATAGATGGTTTTGATGACGTTTAAGTAGGTTCGGAAGGTCAGCCATCTTAAGAAGTGGCGGGAAGGTCAGCCATTCTGTGGTGTCTCTGCCCCACCTCTCAGCCAGCCCAACAGGCATAAGATGTAATTTGACAATAACATCATAAAAGCAAATGGATAGAATGGTATAGGGGTGGTTCTTATACACTATCTAATGTAAGCTGCTCTTAATTCCAACTAGATTGTTATAAATTAATATGAACCACAAGATAATAAAGGAAGAATTGAGTAACGTACAGAAAACAAGTTATAGAATGATAGAAGTCCTTATGAGTAATTTCTTTACATTTAAATGCATTTAGCATTCCAACTAAAAGGAAAGATTTGTCAAAAGGATTTTTAAACTATGATATAACTATATAAAATTACATACCCAAAGGAATTTCAAATCAATACCCTTACTTTATACCTAAGGGACTAGGAAAAGAAAAGCAGTCTAAACCCAGAGGTAGCAGAATGAAGGCAATGATAAAGATTAGAGGAGACTTCAACAAGCTAGAGAGAGAATAGAGAAACAATAGAAAAAGTCAATCAAGGGGCACTTGGGTGGCTCAGTCAGTTAAGCTCCTGACTTTG